ATATTTCTCCTGAAAAGTGGCTAGTGGATTCAAATTGCTGGCCAAACATGCAACCTATTTATTACACTACCAGGACTTTTTCTGCCTTCATATGATCTAATAACAACATTGTTGTTGTGAAGTGCCTTCAAGTCAGTTCCGACCCATAGCGTGACCCAGTATAGGGTTTCCAACGAGCAGCTCGTGAGCTTGAACCCCTGACCTTGCAGTTCAAACAGCTTTACAGTCTAGCTCATTAGCCCACAGCGCCACAATAACAACAAAGTAGTGCCAGTAATCCTCAACTAGGGCCCATTTTGCTCCCTAGGTGGTATCTGGCAACCAACAAAGTTATTTCTTACTACTACAACTAGGGGGCACTGCTACTAGAATCCATTAGAAAGAAAGGCCAGCTATCCTGCTAAAGATCCCAAAATCAAAGAACAGTCCCCACAACCAAGAATCATCTGGCCCAAAATATCAATAGAGCAGAGACTGAAAAACCCTAGTTTAGTGGTTTTAAAGAGTGAAAACCCTGAGCTCAAAATATCCTTAGTCCAAATCCATCTCCATACTTAATAATTAGTAAGACTGATCTAACTGAAACGTACCTCTGTGCCTGTTTCCTAATCTCAAACTGCGAAGGAGAATAAATACCTAATTCACAGAAATGCTATGAGAATTAAGTACAAGGCACTAAATGGATATGCAAGCTTTGTATATAAGTTAAAGAAAAAAGCAGTGAATGGCTATATCAAACTGAACTACAAGTATCACACGCTGTCATCTCCTTCAATGGGTTCTCTTTTTCAAATATTGATATGCTGATATAATCTCCTTCCTACCTATCAAGCTACATTTAAAAATTGTTAACTGTTCTACTCATTCTTTTATATACATATATTTGTTGTTATTGTTAAGTGCCGTCAAATCATTTCCGACCCATAGTGAACATGTTTAGGGTTTCCAAGGAGCAGCTGGTGAGCTTGAACCACTGACCCTGAAGTTCAAACCTACCTTGCAGAGTTCAGTACATTAACCTACAGCACCATACCAGGACTACATATATATACAAAAAGTAATTTCCTAAACTGGATAGAGGTAAGAAACTAATCTAGACTTAGCTATGTTCAATAATTATTGCTCTAACATCAAATAGCAATTATCCCTTTTAACAATCAATTTTTTTTTAATTTCCAACAATCCTGCAACAGCAGCAATCTACAAGCGGATGCACAGATAAGACACACAAGCTGAACAGGTGTGGGAAAAACAGGACTATTTCTACAAAAAAAAAAAAAATATATATATATATATATTATATATATATAGGTTTAAGGAGCTCTGGAAGCGTAGTGGTTACGAATCGGGCTGCGAACCGCAAAGTCAGCAGTTCGAAACTACCAGCTGCTCTGTGGGAGAAAGATGAGGCTTTCTTCTCCCATAAAGATTTACAGCCTCAGAAACCCTGTTCAGAATCACTATGGGTCGGAACCGACTCGACGGCACTTAACAACAACAAATGTAGGTTTGAGAAGATCTTTTGTGTTTACCGATGCTATAAATATATCCATGAATAGATAGCATACATACAGACGGCCAATTTCTTAGACATAACCAAACACCCTGAGGGCTTAAACCCACCAGTCACTCACTGGAAACACTATACAGGGTCTCTATGAGTTGGGGCTTAACAGCACTTAACAACTTCATTCTCACCAATTCCAAGTTTTCTTCTGTCTTAATGGGCAGATATACCCTTTTAAAGATCTTCTAAAAGATTCCTCCATTAATACAACTCTTTACACACCTAATTTCCTTTCAGTACTACATTATTAGCCATAACTTCTTACACTCTCTTTCAAAACCAATATCCAGAGTATATATATTCTTTGAAGTGGCAATGTTTGTTGTTGTTAAGCGTTGTCGAGTTGATTCCAACTAATAGTAACTACCTCTGTACAGGGTTTCTGAGAGCACCTGGTGGGTTTGAACCTCCATAGTTTACAATCCAGTACTGATGCTACAGTGACTACTGGTTAAGTGCCATCGAGTCAGTTCCAATGCATAGTGACCCTGTATAGGGTTTCCAAGGAGTGGCTGGTAAGCTTGAACCACCGACCTTGCAGTCCAGCACGTTCACCCACAACAGGGGTCCTTCACAAGGTACTGAGAACCACCAATTCTATAACCATCAGTTCATTCCACCTTGTGTCCTTCCTCCCTTCCTCCTTAGGTACAGGCCTGTTCCTGTGGATGACTTACCATAGCATCACAAATCAAACTGCCCATGTTGCATTCTTTAAAACAGCATGACTGAATGGAGCCATCCAAATAGACAATTGTTTTTCCCAATTCCTGGGCAGAATAATTGTTTAATTTTAATCCTCCATTGGTTAACGTCTGGTTTGGATCTGAAGGCAGGGGGTGCCTGGTGTAGGGCCGTGAGTTAATGTGAGTAAAGTCAGTCTGAACCACAAGGTCAGTGGTTCAAACTCACTGCAGGTCCTCAGAAACCCTACACAGGGTCACTATGGGTCGGAACTGACTCCAACAGCACTTTAATAACAACAATTTAGAAATCTGTTTAAAGGTAGCAGAGTTTATCATATCACATTGTTGTTTTTGTTGTTAAGTACCATGGAGTCAGTTCCAAGTCAAAGTGACCCTGCACAGGATTACTGAGGCGGTAAATCTTTACGGGAGCAGAACTGGAGTTTAATATTCTCTAGTTAAGAACGCGGCTCTTTAAACAAATATTTTTTGTGTGTGTGGTGCTTTAAGATCAGAAATGGACTTTGAACCCCAAGGCTGGCAGTTCAAACCCACCAGCTGTTCCTTGGAAAACCTGTGCAGGGTTGCTGTGAGTCGGAACCGACTCCACGGCACTTGATGACGTCCAAAACACTTTCTAAAAACATAGTAAGAAACATCCTACATGGATTTTCACCTATTTAAATAAAAATTCCACTTATCTAGAATTATGATTATTTTTCACAGTATGGTTAAGTATTAAGAATTTAGCAAACATTTCTTGACATCCTTAGCATTTCATCAACTCTCAAAGTTTTCAAGTCTTCTTTAAAAGTAAGAAATGAGTGTGATAAAATTCTTTAAGGAGTCTGAGCAATGACTGTTATTCTCTAGTTAATATTCTAACACTGAAATGCATATAAATTTCACACTTACATTTGATTTTTTGCTGCTTGCCTCTGAGCTTTTCTTTCTTTTCTTTTCTGATCGGGTGGCTTAGCAAAAACAATCTCAATATTTTCTCCCTCCAAGTCTTTGCCATTCATTTCTTCCATAGCCTTAAAAAAATAAAAGTACTGATCAATATATAAGCAGCCTTTCAAAAACAATTATCATTAATGAAGGGAGGATAACAAAAAGCCTGCCTCACTCTGTCAGCAAGATAAAATTGGGCTGATTTTTTTTATTTTATTTAAAGGTCTAGCTCTTCAACTAATTACTTTTTTGAATTAACAAGTCAATCTAACAAAAGTCTAGAGAAGTTAGCTGAGTATGTGGGTGGTACAAATTGTTAACTCACTCAGCTGCTAACCAAAAATTTGAAGGAAAAGGCCTGGTGATCTACTTCTAAAAATAGCCATTGAAAATTATGATACATTGGGATCACCAGGAACCAGAACTGACTTAATAGCAACTAGCTTATAAGGGCTAACTTGATTGGACTACATGATCGACTTTCTTTTTAAAAAAGGTTCTAATTTCACTTGTTTACCTTGACAGCACCATCTCGTTCATCGAAATGAATGAAAGCATAATCTTTTAGTTTCTTCACTCGTTCCAGCTTCCCAAATTGACTAAACGCCTTTTCTAAAATCTCTTCTGTTACAGTATTGGCAAGGTTGCGTACAAACAGCACTTTCACCTGAAATTAAAAAGCAAAAACTTGTTTATTTCCAAAAAGCTCCTCCATTTTCAATATGCCAGCCCCTTTCACTTTGCAAGGTTAACTTTAAATAGAACCCACCAGAAGCTAACAGATGACACGCTTGCTAGGAACTCTGGAGAAATAATAGGGGAAGCATTGAATTGCCAACTGAAAGATTGGTGGTTCAAACACATCAGCCACTCCATGGAAGAAAGATGAGGTTATCTGCTCCTACAAAGATTTACAGCCGTAGAATTCCTATGGAGCAGTTCTAAACTCTCCTACAGGATTGTTACGCATAGAAATTGACTCAATGACAAATGGTTAAGTGCTCAATTGCAAAACCAAAGGACTATGAGACAGTCTGCTCCTTAAAAGATTCTTGTTGTTACCTGTCTGGACAGGGCTAATGTAAGTAGATGGGTATAAGACTCTTGTAATTCAATAGCAAATAACTGCTATCAGGACTAACTGTGAGTGTTAGAAATGTAAAGGCAGATGGTTTTTGTAACAAAAGGAGAGGAGTGGTTGATTTTGCCGTCCAGGAGCAGAGGTCCCTGGGACCATCAAGGAAGGAGAGTGAAGTGCAGACCTATACAGAGAAGAAGCAATGCTAGAGACAGAGGCAGAGGCGATGATGTGGAGAGATGGGGCAGCTGGGGACTCTGGACTCAGGGAGGGAGCAGGTCTGTGTGCTGACGGCCGGGGGTCAGGCTTGCGGGGTGTACCCTTTGGTTGTTTGATGACGCTTGGTGGGGACTATAATCATGCAATGAAACAAAATACAATAGGATGAATGTAAGACTAATGTTCTTCCATTAAACTATCACTTAATTCACAATAATTTTTTTTTTTTAATTGTTGTTGTTAAGTGCTGTTCAATAGCAACCATGTACAGGGTTTCCAAAGAGCAGTTGATGGGTTTGAAACTCAAATCTTGTGATTTAGCAAGCCCACTGTTTATCCTACAGTGCCACACCAGGACTCATATGCTTAGCACTTTTTATTAAATTAACTATGGGGATTGTTTATCTAACATGTTTGTTTATACCATATCCTCTAAGTGAGCTGTTCAAGTTTAAACAATATAGTGATCAATGGGTGGAACATTATATTGATAAGATAAATTATCAATATAATTATAGACATCAATGGGTGGAACAATATACTGATAAGATAAATTCTTCTTTTCAATCTTAAAATCTCATAATATAATTATACAAGAATTTTACTTCTGACTAAGAAAAATGATCACATTCAAAACTAAATATTTGAAATAGCATCTGAATCTTAAGGCAGGTAACATAATTGAGCTTTGGGGAAAAAATTATTTGAACAATATTCAGCTCTCCTGAGAGTTCACAATCCCCACTTTACTTCAACTAGTCATATTTGATACCTATCTTATAACCATTAAAGGAGGATGCTTTAAATGGAAAGACAAAGGGTAGAGTATAATAAGTGCCAAATGTACTAGTGAGAGTAAAGTGTTGACTCTCACAAGATGTCTCAACTAACTGCTGAAGCAGAATTCCTAATAATAAACCTTGTAACTGCAGCAGCTCAGCTCGGGCCAGTACACATCACTATTTTCAGGTGTAGGACTTCTAATACAAAAATTCATGCTAGCTTATGGCACCATTCTCAAAAAGCACAAAAGCAATTGCTCTTAAAATTGACATAAAAATTAAATTGAATCATCCTTACAACATGTAGGCTAATTATGAAAGATTTCACGATTATGACTAAGTTTGCATGAATAAATTTCTATACAATAACATTCTAAGAACATGGTATTTCAGATATGTGGCCCTAGTCCCTTAAAGAATACTTCTCCCACCTTCATAAATATAGTTTATAAAAATGTACACAATTCATTTATGTTTTCCCCCTTCTCCCACAAAATTTTAACCTAATTATTACTGTACCTTTGCCATAACCTCAGGATCAGGATCTTCTATAGGATCAGCCCACTCCACAGTTCCAACATTTCCCCAGACTTTGACTTTACCGCTCATTAACCTGCGCCTTGCCTGGGCAGCTGTTTTGTGATCTTCATATTCAAGAAAGCAAAAGCCTCTGTTTTTTTTCTTGTCATCCGGTTGATGGTATAAAATAACATCTGTAAGGCCCTCTGAAAAGTAAGCAACCAATCCAAGGAAATTAGATATAATAGTGAACAAGAACAAGTACATTGAAGGTTTTCTTTATCTAAGGTCTATGTTAGGTACTATGTCAGTATCAATATTAAAAATAAAATGACCACCTGGCCCTATTTACCTAATCTATCCTTTTCTCAATCTCTAATGACTGTATTAACACAATTAAGTTTTCCCAACTCAGAAGGCCCCATGAATAGAAAAGGTTTTATTTTTAATCACACCAACAGCTCCCATAACTTCCATTAATTAAACATGGAGAGGCTGATAAAAATCTTGATATAATCGTTTCACAAAAATGGCAACACAGGTAAAATCAAAGTCACAACATCTCTAAATTTTATTATTCAGACAAATACTAAATGTTTTCTTAATGGCACTTTTCTAGTCTAAAACCAATAGCATTATTCAAAATAAAATAGCTGTGTAACTAAGAATAGCGAATGTTCCCTGAACACTAATTATCAGACATTGTAGGCAGATTAAACCACTTTCCTAAAATTAAAGTAGCCTGTTATTTGGAAAATCTGTCATAAAAAATGTTTCACAGTCTAAATGAATTGATCTGTGTCAGCAATGAATAATCATTCTCTGCATATACCAAAGTGGTGGTTATGTGCCGTAGAGTCAGTTCCGACTCATAGCGACCCTGTACAGGGTTTCTGAGACAGTAAATCTTTATGGGAGCAGAAAGCCTCATCTTTCTCCCGCAGAACAGCTGGTAATTTCAAACTGCTGACCTTGAGGTTCGCAGCCTGATTCGTAACTACTACTCTACCAGAGTAATTTGAAAAAAATCAATTATACAAACAATACTGAGAACATCAACCAAAACCTAGAAATAAAAAACACAATCATTAAAAAAAAAAAAAAAAAAACCCAGAACATTAGCAGATATAGTTCAAATCTCGTCTGCATTCCTTATTAATTGCATAACCTGTAGCAAGGTAGTTCCCCTCTCTATGCCTGTACATAATTAGCCAAATGGGGTTACTTACCTCAACAGGAAGGAGCTCTGGTAGCACAGTGGTTACGATTCGAGCTGCTAACCTCAGGGTCAGCAGTTCGAAACTACCAGCTGTTCCACGGGAGAAAGATGAGGCTTTCTGCTCCCGTAAAGATTTACAGCCTCAGAAACCCTGTACAGGGTCGCTATGCGTCGGAACCGACTCCATGGCACATAACAACAACAACCACCTCAACAGGTTTTAGTAAGGATTCAGTGAATCAATATACGTAGTATTTCAAACACTAATTAGTATATAGAAGTTATGCTATTTATTATCTTCACTGTAAGTTGCACCTACTTCCAAATAAATCCAACTTACCTGTTACTTTGCTAAATTCTTCAAGAATCTGTTCCTTGGTTTTACTCTTAGGAATAGAGCCCACAAAAAGCCTATTGTTGGCGACAGAGATGCAGACACCAATGTGTTTTCCAGAACGAATTTCATGATTATTATACTAAAATGGGAGAAAAGTATACAGTGTTTTAAAAATTACTTATAATATACTACATGTACTTATCATAGAAGATATGCAAATTCATATATTTAAAAAAAGCAAAATCTTTAACAAATTAAAATTTCATCAGTATGTTTACCAGTTATTTTAATCCTTTAAAAATACAATTCACCATAAGGCACTGTACAAGATAAAAATATATCTTGATAGATATGAAGACTCTTCACAAAACTCACACCAAACAAATTAACGACTGAAGGAATGCAACTTTTTGTTGCAAAACCCTTCAGAACATGTAACTCTGATAAAGAATCATGCCTATAGCAGTTTATTTAAATCCAAGAATTGTTCAGCACAATACCTTATCCGGTAATACCTTAACCTCGACACAAATTCATCCAACTAGCCAGTTATTATCATACAAGGGAAAATGACTCCAACTGCACAAGCTTTCTGCCTATTTTTTCTGTTATCTAACATCTAAATCAACTTTGTATTCTCTTAAGTTGTAGTAAAGGAGCATCTAGCTTGAAATACTAAGTCTAAAAAGAGAACTTAACATTATGAAACTTTATACATTCCCTTCCAACTCCCATTTTCATTAAGCCAACAAAATTATGAATATACAATAGATAACTATTATTAACTGCCGTTGAGTAGGTTCCAACTCATAGTGACCCCGTAACAGTGTTTCTGAGGGCAGACAGTAGGTTTAAACTCAAGTTGTTTATCCTACAGCACCACCACCACCACAACAGGGCTTAAGCATTACGTTAGTAAAACTGCATAGTTATTACTACCTTAAAATTTCATGACAGTAATAGCCATGGCAGCAATATAATAATTCTCTAATAATCTGTTCACACTTGGCCTTGCAATCTGTTTTATATATAAATTCAAATAGAGCTATTATACAAACTAAGGAACCAATATGAATTCCCATGAACCACTCTATGGCAAAAGAAAAACTATTCCTTCTCCTCTCCTCATCAATTATTCCCAATTCTGTGTACAGAAGAAAGCAATAACAAAGCCAGAAAACAATCCTCAATTCCTTACTTCTACATTCTCCATCTCCAGATATACAAAGCCAAACATCTACCTCCAATTCAGAACAGTTTTCATATTTTCTTTCCAGCTGACTTAGTTTCCAGCTTTGCTGACTCTAAACTTACCTTTATTTTTCCATACTAATGCCAGAGAGGTAATGTCAATATATTTATCTTATAAACACATAAAACAATTAGTTTTTGTCTACAGAAAAAAGTGCCAAATCATTTCTCATCACCAAAAAGATAAAAGGTCAAATATTTGGACAGTATGTGAGTTCATTCTTGGGCAGTATACAAGTTCATTCATTCTAAAACTCCTATTTTACCCATTCTCTTCACAATGTATATAATCTTAGTTATTTGTAGCTGTTCTCAAACATGGAAAGTTTCTTAACAAAATGCCTTCTCTGAAATTTATTCCTATCCTAATCTCAATTAACAAATATTCTGCATCTAAACCCTATAAAGGTTTATAAACCAACCAAAAAATACCCTTCTATGTTAACATGGAGTTGGAGTACTGGTGTGGCACTGTAGAATAAGCACTGGACCGCAAAGTCTGTTCGAATTGCAAGGTCTGCAGTTCAAACCTACCAGTTACTCCTCAAAAACCCTAAACAGGATCGCTAAGAGTCAGAACTGACTAGATGGTACTAACAACATGTGAACATACAAATCCTAGTGTGGCACTGCAGGATAAGCACTAGACTGCTAACCACAAAGTCAAAGGTTCAATCCCACCAGCTGATCCTCAGAAACCCTCTACAGGGTAACTATGACTCAGAACTAGCATGTTAACATAGACCAACAGGAAGGGTGAAAGAGTGGCAATATACTGGCATCTAGAGATGCTGCTACATATATTATAAAGCATAGCCCACTAATGCAATTCAATTAATCACCCTAGCCCAAAATGCCAATAGGACCAAAGTTTAGAAATTCTGCCATTTTCCCGCAAATTATTTGAAAAGCTCCCTCTTATTAAAATGTCTTTCTATTCCATTAGACCAAGAATCTCTTAAAAAGGCAGAAACATTCCCACTGTCCAGCAAACAAAACTACAGCAGAGTCTCTAATTGTATGGAATTATGGTTAACCTTTAGTTCCCTATCTGGTCTCCTACTAATCTACAAATTAATGAGAATGCCCTGGTAGCATACTGGTTACGAGTTGGACTGCTAACCACAAGGTCAGCAATTCAAATCTACCAGCCACTCCGCTTTCTGCTCCTGTAAAGATTTACTGCCCCAGAAATCCTATACAGGGTCACTATGAGTCAGAACCACCTCAAGGGACATCACCTACCACCACTGCACTACCACCACCACCAAATCATTGGTGAAAAAAGTAAACGATAACAGTTTTCAAATAAAGTTAGTTAAGAACACAATAAAGATTAAGATATACTAATTCCCTAGGATATTATTACATAAACCACCTGCTATAACGACAAATTAATTTCATATAGCCATCTACAGCCATCTATTATAGAATTCTAGTTGACAAAATCATCAGTAAAGAATGGAAGGAGATACAAAGTATTTTAAAAGATAGTAGGGGTCATTTTGAGGTTGACAGAATTTGGTACAATTTTCATTTCTCTTTTTCGTAGTTTAGTTTTTCAAATGCTCCAAGTACAGGAATTACTATAAGATAACCTACTTAAACCTTATAATTTAAAACGAAAAAGAAATTTAACAAAATTTATAATTCTTAATTATACCTGGAAAATGCCCAAAATCCCCAAAGAAAATCTAGTGGGGAAAGGGAAGATAACAGAGAATTAAAAACCCCACAAGGGCAATAGTAATCAAAGAAACATAGGAAGATAGTTCATGGTATGTAACCAACACTTTCCTCAACCTTGTCACACTTAACAATTTTGCTTTAAAATGTTAATGAATATTTCCATTATTGCCTACAGAAAAACAACTCCTTTATGGCTAACCAAGCTAACACAGCCTGACCCATCATCAGATATCCTGGTGTGGCTCTGTTGGAAGAACGGGACTGCGAACCTCAATGTCAGCAGTTCAAACCCGCCAGTCATTCCTTGGAAACCCTATACAGGGTTGCAATGAGTCGGAACCAACTTGACAGAACTTAGAACTTAACAATCATCACTGGTCTTACATTGAGTAACCTACTGTGGTTAAGTTACTCAGGCATGAGCAGGTATAGAAGGTACCATGGCTATTGCTCTAAGTACATTTCAAAGAACAATATAAACTACATGGAGATTTAGTAGGATTAATTAAATAAATTAAAATTCTTTTCTATCCACAATTTAAATTTTAACAATTATACAACAAGGCATCAGAAAGTTCGTGGAAAAATATCATTGTCATTTCATTTAATTTTTCCACGAACTTTCTGAAGCCCCCTCATATTGACCAGAAAACAAATGAACTTCCCCCTGTAAAAATAAGTCACTCAAGGAACAAAGAGACCCTTCTAAGCACACTGTCCAAATAAAGACATGTGCCTGGAAATAAATATTTCCTGAAGGAATTCTCCATCCTGATGTGGTACTGTAGGGATAAGCACTGCACTGCTAACCACCAAGGTCAACGATTTAAATCAACCAGTCACTTCTTAAAAGGGTCGCTATGAATTGGAACTGACTCAGTGGCACTAACAAGTATGTACATAGATCACTGTTGTTGTTAAGTGCCATCAAGTCCATTTCATTCCCAAGGAGCGGCTGGTGAGCTTTAACTACCGACCTTGCTGTTCAAATGACTTTGCTTTTGCAGTCCAGAGCATTAACCCACATTGCCACACCAAGACATATATTGTTATGTTGTGTGCTGTAGAGTAGATTTTCAACTCATAGCAACCCTGTAAGAGTTTCCAAGGTGCAGATAATGATGAGTTTCAACCAGCAACCTTGCAATTCAAACCAACCTTGAAATTGAGTGCTTTTCCTAGGGTGCCATACCAGGACTCTAAATATATATATATGATTTACTTAACCCTCTCATCCTTTAGTATTTAAGACCAATCTTAAATTCAAAAATAAGCAGTGGCTCTGTAGGATAAGCACTGGACTGCAAACCACAATGTGGGCCTTTTGTGCTTAACTGCAGCTCTGCAGGGAAAAAAGATGAGGCTTTCTGCCCCCTCAAAGATTTACAGCTTCAAAAACCCTATACAGGGTTGTTGGAACTGACGACAGCTACATTAACAATAAAAATATGCCTCTCGACTAGCAGACAAACAGTGAAATAGATAACTAAGAGTGCATTAAAAGAACTTAAAAGAACTGAACCTTAATGAGGCTTTTATACTAAAAATACCCAAAGATCTTTCCAACTCTAAGAAGGTGGACTTAGATGTTAAAAACCTAGCTTTCAGGTTTAGAATGCAGGTGATAAAGATGAACTTTCAACTTTAACCAACAATTTCAGTATTTACACCAAAACAGGACTTGTATAATCTTTAACATTCCTAACTTCTAGGCTTAAAGTCATTTCTTCCTTCCTGTACAGCCAGTATGTTAGCAAATCTCCAGAGGTTTAGCAATCTCAGATTTAGAAACGGATCCAGAGTTGTTGCTCAGTCCTAACACTTCTTACAACAGAATAGCACTACCCAAAATCTTTTATTAAGCATTTCTGTATTAAAAAGTTGTTCAAATTGAGTCAAAATTTACATTCATAAAAATTCTATCTCTACCTTTTACAAGGTAAAGAATAAATCTACTCTGTCCCTCAAATTACAGAACTTCATATAACCGCACAAATTTCAAGATTCAATTGTTCTCTATGCTTGACTAATCATTCCTTCCCTGAAACTGGCAAATGTAGTGTCTTCTGAGGAAACAATGCCCTCCACACAAGTGACACAACACAATAAATACTGTAGATGTAGATGATTAAGGAAAACAAGCTGGAAACTATTCCTAATTTACTTCTAGACACCAGGCCTCATTACATGTAGTCCATT